CGAAGGACACGGCTTGTATTACAAGGATCGTTTTCTTAGTACACGAAAGCCTAGCTCCTCACCCTCATTCTTGCATCCAGCATACAGCGGCTTGCAACATTGCAAAGAAGTTGGCTAAAATTTCCGAACAAGCCTAAGCGCCTCTTGATTCACCAATTGAGGTTTTCGCACAATACCCGGCGTACAGTACGAACGATCACAAACTTCTCGGCTTACTAAACCTCCGATAAAGATTCTAAAGGATCCCGAAGGTCTTCTAGAGATTAACAGCTCTACAGTTGTAATGTCCGCCTTCCCACCCCTCTCGGTAAAATAGACATTAGCAGATGTTGCACATGAGGATTCATCATAATATTCCGTAGCTGTCTTCTAGAACAATGCGGTCAGAGACGACGAGCTAGGTCTAAATCGAGTTTTGTATCCGTCGATGGATATTGTGTACTTTGCGAATCCGAGTTCCAGTTGTGTAGTAGAGATGCGAGGACTTCGACCGTATATTTAGTAAGAAAACGCTTTCAGATCTGCCCTATATGGAACAGGAGGATGACATAAAAGAATATCTTCCACACTAGAGAGCAAGCTCACAATTCCGAGGATGGTAATAATGACCTGGTGGATCATCCCACATTGACGATTAAGGACAAACTGTACTTGGAGGAGATAGGGATTCTCCGGACGGCGGCTAAGTCAACATGGATGACAATTCTACATTATTAGAGGCGGCTCCTATTGCTAGTGAGGGAGACCTTAATGGTATGGATACTACCTCTGCATCTGTGGAAGGAACTACTAAATTTAAGGAAAGCATGGAGTCCCTTGCAATTTCTTAGTTGAGAAGTATGCAAATCTAGTTGCTGGAAAAATAAGTTCGGATGAGATTTGTAAGTGTGCTATCAAAGCTAGACGTTGGGAGCCATATCCATAAGGATTGGTCTGTAGGCAAAGTGGCAAAAGATGTGACGTGTCTATAACATGATTTTTCTTTGGGCGAGTGCTTTCCAACATTAGATGAAATGATCACGTAGCTGCTGGTGATTTGAGATGTCAATAAATACAGTCTTCATGTGACTTTGCAGAAACACATCTTGCTCTATTGCGGTATATGTTCCTCTTTAGAGGGGCCCTCTAACTTGATAACCTGGCAACCTTGGCTAGATAAGAGAGGTTACCAAGCCGGTGTGATGTTCTGTAGGCAACATAGCTAACTAGACAGACCTCAGTCATCTTCACGACGTCATTGAGGGAGAGGACAACGCAATAGGGTCAGAGCAAGGATATTGAAGATTCGAAACTAGAGCATTTAGAGAAATATAACTGAGTATAATTTGGAGTGAGTTCTCTTATCCTGATTCTTCTGTACATACGTCATTACAAGCCTTATCTGGGCTTCTCAACTTGCCAGGGCATGACTGAGAAGCTTGAGAGAGAAGAGCCCAACATATCAGTTGGGAAGTTGAAGAACATATAGGACACCAGCCTAGAGAAGATAGAGCTTATTGGAAGTCTTTAAGGTGCAAAGTCTCTACCTGCATTCAGCAAAATTGTTTGTTTTGACTTGGGTATGATGACATGTGAAGGTTGCCAGGACGATTTTCCTAGAAGTTACATTCAGCATCTCACAATCTACACGATCGCTCAAGAGTTTGGAGTCACTCGAATAATTGCACAAGACCCTAGCTACATTTAAGCCGATCGAGAGCTTCATTCCTAATTCCAGATCCGTATTGACACTGTTGAAAATCCTGAGGGGTTTCTCGAAGTTGAGGAGCCTACCTTTGTCTTCTCAGCTTATCGGAGTTTTCTAATACGGTAGATTATCCTTGATCTCTCGTTGGAATCGCATAAGCTTGCTGATATGCTGTGAAATTACAAGGATACAGCTTCTGATAAATGTTCCCATAGGGTTAATGAGTTGAAGAAATTCTAGATTCTGAAAAAAAAATTTGGGGACAGTCCGCATCTTAATCCCAGCATCCTGTATTTGAGGGAAGTTCAGTTGGTGGGACAACTATGAAAGTAAGGTGAGTCAAGTGGAATACCTTGATGGGATATGTTCATGAGAGATTTTCTTCGTTGTTTTAGTTGATGTTTCGTTGTATGTTTAATCGTGACCCTTTCTGCTCCGAGGTTCGCAAGCTATCAGGTGTCACACAAGTTAGCATAATTCTTTTGTAGATGATTGATATACCCGGATCATAGCTCCTTTTCACGCATGTGGTTATATGTTCGCTTAAGGCTTCCCTATCAGGAAGCGCTAAGTAGAAACGGGTCTGTGCTTACGCCCCTTTACCTTTATGATACGGGATTTGGCATTACCATACGTCAGGTGGAAAATTGATCTCAATATGGTTAGGTGTTATAATCTAGCCAATGCGTTCCCTAATCTCCTCGCGGCTGAGGCGTTATTTTACTCGAATTTATGTATACGCGCAGCCCGGTTTCGAGCTGAACCAGCCCACAGCCCTGCTGCTCAGCCTCCCGATTGCTGCCTTATAGGTATCCGACTTAAAGATATGCTGTGTGCTCGCAGATACGAGCACCGCATGTTCGCACCCTAACACCATTCGATTTTTTCCAAAAGTTGATGATCTAGAACACCAAGCATCAACCCCGATCGGCATGGATGACAAGGCGCTACCAGTTGAGCTATCAAAGAGAACTAGACTTAAAAGGCTACTCTATCCTGGACGATGGACGAAGAAATATCTGAAAACTAGTGTATTACAAACACTGCCGGTGTACAAGTATGATACTTTGCCGTCTGAGACGGCAATTAGAGTCATGAAACTTTTACCTGGGCTGGGGGACAATTTGATAAAATGCCATCTTTCAGTTGTAGAACGAGCGCAAACGCCTGAATTTGAAGCCCTATCATACGTCTGGGGTGATCCAACAATTAGGCAAAGCATTTACTGCAACAAGAAAAGGCTTGATATTCCGGTCAGCTTGTACCAAGCACTGCGGAGAATTCGGGATCCGGAAAGGCCCAAATGGCTTTTCGCGGATGCTATATGCATTGATCAAGCAAATGTCAAAGAGCGGGGGCATCAAGTGAAGCAAATGGGCTGGATATACTCGAATGCAAAATCCGTCCTTGTTTGGTTAGGGCCCGAGAACCCCTTCGAGGCATTCAACAATATCCAGGAGTATATGAAAAATATATTGGACCAGCTATTGAACCGCGTCCGAAGGAATCGCAGAGGTATTGAAGCTTTCTTCGCTGAACATGAGCTGGATCGCAGGGAGCATGACTTCTACTCTGCCCTCTCCACATTGTTTTCACTTCCGTGGTTCACGCGGCTATGGGTAATTCAAGAGGCAGGATTAGGGAAATCAGTGCAGGCACTGTTTGGTGATGTGCAGATGGATTTCGATATACTTATCTCGCTCGCTGACGCTATCGACCGTTCGAGACTAATGGTAAACCAGTTTGACCTCCGGACAAGATGGTCATTCGCAATCGGTTCTTTCCCAAGAAGAAGTCAAAGTACGACATTACGGCCATTCGTAAAAGACTTTCTTGATTTGATGCTTACAACTACCAAATATCTTGCCTCGGATCCACACGACCATGTTTACGCCTTATTAGGACATTCGAGCGCATTTATCAATGGCCAGTCCATAGTTGAACCGGACTACAGCAGGCAGCCACTTGATGTATTCCGCGACCTCGCTATCAAGATTCTGGAACACACACAAAACCTTCGCATTCTCTCTGCCGTTAAACATCGGACTGAGGAGACACTAAACGATAAATTTCCATCGTGGGTTCCGACATGGTGCCGGAAAACAATGCATTATGGCGGTTTCAAGTACGATCCACATTACTACGATGCTGCGGCTGGCTTTGATTGTTCATGGCGGTTGATACCGGCCGGGTCCATTCTGCAGGTAAATGGCATACAGTTCGGTACGGTTGACGACTATGGCAACCCTTCCCTCTTTAAAGAGTACGAAGGGATGTCTTCTGGGCGCAAAGACCTAAGAATCTGGATGCTAGGATCAATGATACTCTTCCGGACATGGTCGTCAGTCCCAGTTCGTGAGAGGCTATGGGAAGTATGTCAATTATTTCGTCGAAATCCTAGGGAAGCGGACATAAACGATCTTGCCGCTTTCTTGCTTTGGTGGCTATTTGAGAAATTTCCACAAAAAAACAATTTTAATAGTAGGGTTGATCCAGGGGCTTTGGAATTTATTAGAGCAGCCGCTGAAGGAGGAAATGCGGACATCTTTCGTAAGAGAAGTATAAATTATCTCTTCGATTGGAAAATATTTTCTACGTCTAGTGGAATATTAGGTCTCGGCCCAGAGATACTTCGAACTGGGGATATATGCTGCGTTTTGTTTGGTTCCTGCATTCCATTCATTTTACGACCTGCTGAGAAAGGGTACAGACTAGTTGGAGAGGCGAAGATTCCTAGAGTAATGCAAGGTGAGGTCATGGTGGATTTCATTTTGGAGGAAAGGTATAAAGAGCAGACATTTGATATTTTCTAGGCCCTGAATGATAGCATAAGTTTCTGTTTTCAAATCGATGTGTTAATGTTTCATCTCTCATGAGTGACGAAAATTATGCGGAGTGAGACATTTATATGCTACGACGGACTGACCCTCAAGAAAAACTAGTCTGTTCGAGAAGTGAGTGATTTCCGGCAATGGATCTAGTCTCCATCCAACCTCGCTTACGTATGTGTGTGTGTGTGTTCTATTATGGCCCATGCACCCTATGGGTATGGGCCGTTGCGAAGCACCAACTATACACATTCTGCTTTATTACGCCTGCTCGTCCAATGCCTAGCTCCATGCTCAACAAAGGAAAGTAATACACTACCGTCTAGGGCAAGCTGTATAGCTTGTCGACAACTTTGCTTGCCTCTTCGATATTAGCGCGAGTGCTTGTCCGTCCTTGTCACACTCCACACCTATAGCCAATTGGCATCTAAGCCACTAAAGCTCCCAGAGAAGTGCTACAAAAATAAAAATTAAAAAAAATGTCTCTCTCCCTCGGGGAATCGAACCCCGGTCTCCCGCGCTTGTAGGTTCGAGGGAATCTTGACAAGCGGAAATCATGACCACTGCATTGAAAGTTAGCAGTGCTTGGTGTGAGCTGGTAAGTGTTATAACTGACCTAGACCAAGGAAGACTTTACTTGCATGATGACAGAATTATTTTTAATTATTTTATATAGAGATTTCTAAAAGGGTATCATGTGGATGAGCTGCGATACCGATTGTGGACATCCGGGATGTAGTAAGAGATGATTATGCGATACCGTAGTCGGATTACGAATACCTCTTGCCGATGCATCTGTCACGAGGCACACAAGTCATTTCAACCGTCCAAACGGCATACATGATTTAAAGTGCCTTAGGCACCTTAATCATTACTCGCAGGCATCTAATATGCTTGGTTATATATCAATCATTGATTCGCCATTCCCCATGACGACCAATAATGCACTGCCTAAACTTCGGAAAACTTCGCGAATAACTATCTAGAGATTATATTCTAATGATCAATCAGATACCTGCGGCGAATCGGTCCGCGTCAGTGAACACTGTAGCTCTTGTAGTACCTCCTGCTGGCTGCACCTTCCTACTTCTATCAAAGATATGTTATTCATCTTAAGTACGAAAGAAAGTCAAGTCCTCGCTACGGTCGCGAATAGGGTCTATGGTAGACCATATGTATCGACACCTTCGAGCCGCTAATTCATGTAAAATCCTTAGCAGTAGATACTGGGCGAAGTCCATCTCACGCGCATCGTCCAGATCAGTGAAGATCGGGTGCCTTGCGGACGAGACCAATGATCAAGCCTTGTCCTCAGCGGCGCGTTGAGGAGAACATGGCCTCGCCTGCAATTGAAGATTTGCGTGTTTGATTAGTAATATTCCACTAAGCTCTAGGTGGACTTAAAAGGTCTAAAGTTCTTCCGGTGAACCCTGGTCTTTCTCTGTCAACCACCATGGACACTTTGGACAACACAGAATGGGACGTCCTTGTTATAGGCACTGGTCTTAAGCAGTCTCTCCTGGCTTTGTATGTCATTCCAATACTGCGACGATCCTATACGCATGTCTGACTGACGCAGCTTGTGAAGAGCTCTGTCTCGTTCGGGGAAGAAAATCCTCCACATTGATGAGAACGCCTACTATGGAGGCGCCGAGGCTGCTTTTAGCTTACAGGAAGCTGAGGAGTGGGCAAAAAAGGTAAATGAAGGTATGTTTGAGCTACCGTTCTAAATATGCGAGTGTCTGACATACCAAAGACTCGGTTGCTGCCTTTACCACAGTCTCTATCTCCAAACCGGATCTGTCCGAGTCGGAAACCTCCCAGGTTTCCTTGTCGGCCTCGAGATCGTACACTCTAGCCCTGAGCCCACAGCTCATCTACACGCGCTCGGCTCTTCTCCAGTCCCTTATCTCGTCGAAGGTCTACAGGCAGCTTGACTTCGTCGCTGTCGGAAGCTGGTGGGTATACTCCGCGGGATCAACCGGCTTGGATAATGGAGGCGTTTCTTCCTCTGATTCCTCTGCCACACTGCAGGGAACTTTACTCAAAGTACCCAATGGAAGGGAGGATGTATTCCAGGACCAAGGGCTGGACTTCAAGGCAAAACGAGCGCTGATGAAGTTTCTCCGGTTCATTGGCGAGTATGAGGAGCAGGGGGAACTCTGGGAAGACTACAAGGCTCGATCATTCCCTTCGTTCTTGTCGGAGCAATTCAAGGTCCCTGTTTCGCTACATGCTCCGCTGCTTGCATTGACACTGTCGCCGGCGCCTCCTGAACAAACTACTACTGAGTATGCCCTGCCTCGTATAGCAAGGCACTTGCGATCGATTGGATCTATCGGTGCGGGATTTGGCTCGGTCATCACTAGGTTTGGTGGCATGTCCGAAATTGCTCAGGTCGCTTGTCGTGCCTGCGCTGTCGGTGGCGGAGTCTATGTCCTTGGAAAAGGTGCCTCCACAATCGAGCGCCCCGAGGTTGCTCAAGTTGGGACAAGTGGTATCAAACTTTGCCTGGAAGACAGTGAGACTGTTACTACCCAGTGGCTTATCGGAGACGATACGGCACATGACACACCTGAACCTTTGTACTGCAGATCCATCACTATTGTGTCATCGACTCTTGCACATCTCTTTTCTCCAATAGCAGAGGGAGCACCACCGCCGGCCTGTGCAGTCGTCATCTTCCCTTCAGGAAGTCTATCGTTAGATGGAAGTCGTGCGCAAGGCAGCGAGTCACCACCCGTTTATATCCTCGTCCACGCTAGCGACACCGGCGAATGTCCCAGAGGGCAAAGTGAGTCCAGCAATCCTCCTTTCTGACTTCCGTACGCCATTATGATGATCCCCATACGAATACTTATCTACATTGTCTGAACAACATTGACGATAATTATCCTCTGACAACCTGATATGGCTCACTCCGATCCAACTCGGTTCCTTAAGCATTTGCTTGGATGCAAACGGCTAATTGTTTGGATAGGTATCTTATATGCATCTACCTCGCTTAGCGGAGAAACTGGCTTCCAGCTCCTCAACAAAGCTGTACAAGCCCTATTGTCATCGATCGACGTCACACCCTTACCAGCCATTCTATGGTCAATGCAGTACGGGCAACGACCCGGCTCATCTAACGCCTTACCGGAGGGTGCCGACGAAAGGCTTTTAGGATTCTCGCCCTCATCTCTGGATCTTACAGTTGATGACTCGATCCTTGATCAGGTCAAGGAAGTATGGCAGAAGATCGTTGGTGATAACGGCGGGGAGTTCCTAACATTCGAGGACAGAGAGGCTAATCTAGATGACGATGAATGACGATATGCGGTTATGGTTATGATTGATGGGTCTGCGCACGGATTGGAAGGTGTTCGGCGCGGCTTTAAATATTGATTATTCCCTAATGTGCATATATGTTAGCGCACTAATGGAATAATCCTTTAATCTATTGTCTTTAAAATTCATCTTCGTTTCCTCGTACCCCGACTAGTTCTGCCATCGTTGCAGTTATTACTGTGTCGAGGAGGTCACGGATCAAACAATCAACCTCACTATATTCAACTAGCCTTTTATAGATCACATACTTGTAATGAAGGATGAGATGAAGGGGAAAGAGGCAAAGATCATCTCTTCGACTACCCTACACTTGAACCACACCAACAAAACATGTACATCCATGATCCAGTAAAACCGTTGAGCTAAGGGGAAGGGGGTATCATCATCACCATCCATTAGAACGCCAGTCCATCTCCATCAAGGGAGAAAAAGAGGGGAAAAAAAAAAAAAAAAAGTTCCAGTCTTTGCCTCCCCTTTCCATTAAAATCCAGCGCCGACTCCGAATTCATCACATTCGAAAACCGCAGAAAACATACTGAAACGCCAAATAGCACGAAAACCAACAAATAGCCCATGAAAACTATAATCTGATCAACCTCGGCGAAATCCATCTTCTTCGCACGAGGCTCAGAATTCCTCGCTTTCGCCTTTGTAGCTGCTCTGTTCAAGAGGCACTGTTTGGTTGTCATTCCTTCCGTAGTATGATACAGTGGGTTCGTGCTGGTTAATCAATCCATCAACATGAGTTATCTGTTCGCTAAAAGCCTCTCCTTCAGCACCCAGGATCCTTGCACTGGTGATTTCGGCAGAGTCTTGGTTTTTCTTTTTCTTCTTTTTGTTTTTGGGTTTCTTTAGTGGTTGCGATTGCGATGCAACTAAGGCTGTGAGGGTCTGGGTAGGGGTATGAAAGTCGACCGCGGTTGAACAAGGTGAAATGATTGGTGGGCTAACGCCTCGAAGGGTGGTCGAGCTCGCAGTTGACACAGAGTCCATTTGTACATTATCTGTAGCTGCTATCTCTAGAAGCATACGATTAGTCCTGGCCGCTGCATACGATTGGAGTGTCAAACCTTTTTCAGTATCCGTTCGAGATATCTCGGTAGCCATATTTGGATTTTCCAATATACCTGGTATTAGGTGCTCTGAGGTGACGGGGTTAGCAGATAGGTTCGAAATATCTACCTGTGCAGATTCGGCAGGAGAGGTATTATCGCTAAGGGGCTTGGCCGATGGTGAGGCCTTGCGGGTAAGAAGGGTAAGGGAGGGTATAGCGACCTTTTCGCGTATCAAAGTCTTCTTTTTCATTTGTTCTTGAGTATAAGCTTTCACGGAGGGTTGGGTTCTAGCCGAAACGAGAGAGGGGGTATCCGATGCGTTGGAGGATGTTGGGATCGAAGAGGACTTAAGAGACAGCGCATCTGCTCCCGGAGGCGCCTGGGCTTCCTGTCTGTCGTCCTGAACGGATGAGCCTGGGTGAGCCTTGAAGTCCTGAGGTCCTATACTTGCATTATCTGAGGGACTGGAAGCTTTACCTCCAGAGTTGGGATCTGATTCCACATTCTGTTCGGCAGTGGTAGCACTTGCAGTGGCCGTAGCTATACTCACGTTATCCTTATCGAAAGGGTCTCCGGTACTATGAATACTCGGGATCCGTCTATGGCCAATATCGGATGCTTTCAATAAAGTCGGCCCTTTCATTTGCTCTGATGAGGTAGTAGAGCCTGCCTGCGACAGGGCAGGCTTGTCCTTGGCTGCGATACCATCGACAGGTTTGGTGAACGGGGAGGCCTTCTCTGCCTGAGCTTTCTTCTTCTCCTTCTTCTTGGCGTTCTTTTCCTTTCGAGCTTGGGCCTTTGACTTGGCAAAGGGAAAAAGGGATTCCGTTTGTTTCACGCCTGCTTTCTTTTCTGCCGAAGGAGACACCTTGGTCTCTTGAATAGTAAGGATCCCTGAAGCTTGTTGCGAACGAGTGACTGAGCTAATTACCGGCCCTTCGGCTTGTCCAACTTTCGATTCGAAAACTTCTTCCACCGTCTCATGTTGTTGATATGTATTGGCCGGCCTGGAGGCAGATGGTGGCTCAACATATATAGACGAAGGCTGCTGAACAGCAGGGGAGGTGGCCTCGAAAATTTCCGGCTGTACAGCCTCAGACTGCGACTCAATGGCCGAGTGAAAGCTTAGATCGTGCTTCTGTTCATCGTCAGAGTGCTGCTCTTCACAAACTTCCTTGTCGATCGTAGGAT